TTCGGGCCTCCGCGGCCGCACAGGCAGCTGGTGCCCCTCTCGCCTCAGGGAAGCCGTCCCGCTACCCGCAGGAGCTGGGGCTCGATCGTTCAAAGAGCCAAATTAGTCGAAAGAGAAGCTTGGGTATAAACCGGTATCGGCTTTGTGGTAAAAATGGTTACACTGGGTCGGACACGAGGTCCCGCTAGTATCCCGTAGCTTTAACCTTAACCATGAGGTTTCCTCAGAGGACAGCATAAGAAATCGCCCATAGGTTTAGTGAGACTTGGAAGTCTGAGGTAAAGTGTTTCTCTCTGTCTTTATTCTCCGCTTAGTGAGGGACCACAGAGCCCTTGGAAAAATAAAAGTTGTGCCACTGTGGCTACCTTCAGAGCTCTGCCAGCTGCCTGCGTATGGCCGAGCACATGTTCAGGATCAGGCCTTCAGGGCAAGCTCTCAGCCTACCTCACGCATGTGTAAAACGTAATAGAGCCCAACTGTGCAGTGGGAAAATTCGGCACTGGCTTTATTTAATCGGGTTCTTATCAGTGGTGCGGCAAGCTCAAGACATGAAAGGCTTCGACAGCCATCCTGTTCTATTTGCTTTCTTTTGCGAAACTTCCCAAGAGTGATTGTACACGGTAGGGTAAAAATGGTCTATGTGTAAAATACAGCCTTGAATTTTGATACCAGATACAACTGCTGCTGGTACCATACCATCTCGGTTTATCTTCTAATCCCTAGTGTTAAGGAAAATTAATGATAATAAGTATTAAGAGGAAAACCATATATCAAAGTCAGCCATGTTGTAAATGTGCTTGACATTATCAGCAGAGGGGGATTTGAATGTGATGAATCGTCTGTTACTAACCTATATCTCAGCACAGGAATATTTACAAATTATTATGTTCTAAGAATATGTATGTATATATACCCCACACGTTCATATAAATAAGTCTTTATTGGCAACTACTCCCCTCCCCAAATTGTTTTGTGGGGTTTTTTTTCAGTTCCTTAATATTTATTCTTAATATCTGAAATGTTAATTTTATTTTTCAATTACCTCCCTTCTTTTTGCTTTTTCTGCTGCACCATCTACCTTTCATGCTTGTTTTGGAAAGATCTTTTCTTCCTTTATTTTTTTTTTTATTACTCTTCTTTCTTTCCTTCCATTTTTATCAGGCATTGATGTTTTACATGCAGTCTTTTCTGTAATTTGTTTTAACCTTAATTTTCATACATTTTTAGAAATTAATCTTTGTCACCATTTTAGCTACATTCTATTTTTCTTCCCTCAAAACAGAAAGTGATATTTCTAAAATATTCTGTTACACATTTTATCCCTTTTCTCATAGTTGTCTCTGCTTAGTATTCCAGTTTCTTGCTCTCCTATTTCCTACTCGATTTCTCCACAGCCACTCATTTGTTGTTGCTG